GACACTGCCTTAATGCTTGCGAAACCAACAATATTTGCGCGTAAAGAATATACATACGACGCAGGAATTGAGATTGCGCGCTCTATGGACATTTTTGGCAATTATAAGGACATCAGAATTAAGTCAACGATCGTTTCCGCGCTTCTAAGTTGGCACTGCAGGAGGAATATGTTAGCCCACGAATCACTATGAGTATACTAAAAGGCTTTGGTGGATATATCTAAGTTGAAAGGAATCAGAAGCAAGACTGTTTTTCTACTGCGTTATATGCTTATCTAGCTTACCTCATGTCAAAAAGCATTATGTATCTTTTGTTGATAAGTTTTAGCAAGGTTGAAATGAGTTAAGATCACTTCTTTGCAGTGTTTAAAAAACCCTTCTGCATGCTTGCTCCTACTGAACAACCCTAACCTTGTCTTAACATAGCCTATTTTTATGATAAAACGCCTGACATATGGCCATAAGCTTGTCGAGTGTTACAGTGAATGCGTGCAAACTTTCATGATTACTCACCAACAACAGCTGCACCAGGCTCTAGTTTTCCAAGCGAGAACTTACCCGTCGTCTTCAATTTCTGCTGCTTCGGAATGTAGGCAAAGTGAAACATCGAGTATGTGTGTGTGTGTGAACAGCAGTGGGTGCCGTTTTCAGTGGAGATTTTTTTGTGATGACGCACACGTACTCTTTACTAAAGAATTGTCAGCGAGTAGATCCAGAAGTTTCCGCTGAAAAAATTGACGGCTGTTCAGTTTCAGCCACAAAGCCTTGATCTTGTTGTTGCTGTTTTACTACTTGCAGCGTTCTGAAATGCTGCGTCTTTGATTACACATAGGGATGAAATCTACCAAATGGTCCATTTCGTAGAGTAAAGATGAACTAAGGTGTGATACGGTTATCATCGTGCTCATAGATTGATGTACTGCTGCAGCTCTGTGGTTTCATTAACTCGAATGCTGCACTTAGACCGCTAGTAGATCCGACGCTTAATATAGTGTCCCTGCGGTGCCGAGATTCGCCAACAACATTCGCGCGTGCACATGTGGCTACCCTTGTAGTGCCGAAGTTTTGCGCGCGCAAATTGCCAGCGTTACAGGCGTAGCTATTTATTCACGCGCGAATGTTGTCGATCTTGCTACCGCTGTGACACTAGAGGTCAGAACTACTTGCCCATATTATCTCAGATTTTGAACTGGGTTGTGCTCCAAATGAAGCGTTGCTGTGATCCAGTCCCATTTATGTTAGTGGATCGTAGCAGAACCGCGCCATATTCATACCAGGGGCGATATTTAGCCCAGAAATTGAGACTTTGTAGAGGATACTACTGTCTCACTTCACCCCTACTATATACCAGCCCGAGTACAATTTTGTCTGGCAGCTTGATCACTTGGAACTAAAACAGTCGCGCGCTGCCGTGTTGTAACAGTTGCACATCGTTGCAATGTCTGACTAAGTGAGAAAGCTCCAGGATAAGATCGATCTAGAGCTATTAGGAGTTTCGATCATCGTTTATACACAGGGACTAGAATATTCGGGATCTCTTCTCTCTTTGTTGTGTATCGAGTTCAGTGTCGAGAGGTTACTGTTTTATTTTTAGGTATGGTGAAGTCATAAACATCAATCTGCTCCGACATGCTGATACTGGCAAATCGAGAGGATTCTGCTTTTTGTGCTATCAAGACCAGCGTAGTACCGTGCTTGCCGTCGATAACCTTAATGGTATCACGGTAAGTGGTTTTTTCTTGGAGTTTGGTTATTAACAGTGTAATTTCGTGGGTCTTTTGCAGCTGCTGAAGCGTCAGATTCGGGTTGACCATGTGGAACAGTACAAAGTGCCTAAATATAAGGAGAACGCTGACGAAGAAACTAAACGCTTATGGGAAGAAGGATGTGCTCCTAAACCTATTCGTAGAGCTGAAGGTAAGTAAGCACTTAATACGGCATTGACGGAAGCATTAACATGTGCTTGTAGCAGTTTCACATGCTACAAAATTATAAATCTTGTTTTTTTTTCTGCCAAAGCGTAGCTACTGTCGGTGTTTCTTTATCTTCGAATATTTTAGTAGAGAAACTGCCCAAAGAGCCAGAAGAAGACATGGAAGAGAAAGTGAAAGAAAAAGTTCTGTCTTTGAAGGTAAATACGTTTTGTAGTAGTAGTTTAATTCAGACATAAACTTTCACTTTCAGGAAGACGAGGAACTCAAAGAGTTGAAGAGAAAAATCAAGGAGGATAAAAAGAGAAAGAAGAAGGAGAAGAGAGAGGCTAAAAAAGAGAAGAAGAAGTTGAAGAAATTGTTGAAGAGCGACGAGAAAAATCTCGAGAAAGATTGGAAAGATCAGAGCAAGCTGTTCGACAAGACAGTCAAGGTATATTCCAGTAGGGTTCCACGATGTTCATCTCATTTGAGTAATGTCTTATTACAGGATGATGAGATTTATGGACAAAATAAGCACTTCA